AGGAAAATTCTTTACCATGTTCTCCTCTAAAGCCTGAAGAATCTACTTCTGCATTAGAAAAGGCAAGTAACATGTTTGCAACTTTTGTAATGCGAAGAACATATACCTTATTGTTTCTCAATTTAAGGCATTTTGTATATCTCAGGAATTGTTAGCTGTAGAAATTTCCAATGCATTAGAAACTACCACAGTGCCAGAGGTAATCATCTTTAGTTTTTCTAGGCTGCATAATTAAACTATACGAAACTGGATACAAGTCTTACACATCTATTTTTTGTTTGTCTTGGATGTTTTTAATGGCAATCAGGATTCTAAAAGAATCGATGACAATATGAAAGCATTATCCGCCGCAGGAGATGGTATGATAATTTTGTGGTGAAGTGTATGTTAGGCTTTGGGCGTCCATTTGATGTATATAGATAAATTATATATATTATAACTTTTTATAGGTCCAAACATTTATGACCTTCCAGTGGAAAGCACACCTGGGGTGACAAATAACACGAGCGTGTCTGTTGTTAAAAGTAGGTAGCAATATAATCGGCAGTTTTGCTAGTTTTGTATATAAAAATGCTTTAATGATGTTTTACATGAAATCCTTGTTTAATTTCTCTTTTCTTTTGGCATGTTACAGGCTCAGATTTGGATAAGGAAAACAATAGCTATATGATCAATGAAGATAAATCTCCTCCAATAAGTGCACGATTACGAGAATTATCCAACACTTTGAGATTGATTAGTTCTTCCGCACCTATGTGCTTAAAGATCCCTGACAGTGATGCTGCTCCCCGTAGCTTAGTCTCTACTGATGTTATGGAAGCACAGACTCCAACCATAGAATGGAGTAGAGATTATGATGAACACGATGTTGCTGATCCAACTACTCCTTGGGAAACGCTCAGCAAGCGCAGTACGGGTGTGAAGGTTAGATTTGTCAATGTTATATCTAAATTTGATCCCTTGGCCATTTAAATATAGTTGACTCTTCTTTTTTCTGTTTTTCAGAATTCACTTGTGGATGACTATCTAAGGTTTCTGAACACAGCTAGCAAGTAAGTTGATGTTTTTTGTTCTACTGTACTGTGAAATTTTAATTGACTTTAGGATAAGGCATCTATATTATACATGTCTTTGCTTAAATTTTCAATATTAGGAATACTGTATCCATTGGCTGTTTGTTCTATTCTTGTTTGACAAGTTTCTTTTCCTTGTTCTACTTCTTGCTCTTCACAGGGAAGAACTGAAAAGATTGAAAGTGAGTAGCATTTATTATGTTCTTTTTAACTTCTAATGTTTGTTGCTCTTACAAATGATTTAATGAAAATTTTTTACTCTCCAGGGAATTGGAGAGAAGAGAGCTACTTCAATTATTGAACTACGTGAAGAGTCTCCCGAGCCATTCAAGAGTGTGAGTCCCCCTACTGTATTTGAAATCTCATGAAGGCTCTTCGAATTTATCTTAGGGACACGATATCGATTTTGTTTTTGGTTGTCTGTTCTTCCCTAAAAGCGCAGCCTTCGAAATATATATATATATATATATATATCTTTTTCTTTTGAAGTTTGTCTCAAGAAAGTATTTTTAGAAAGTGAAAAAACTAAACAAAGGAAACCGTGAAACATCAAACTTACCAAAATGTTCGAATCTAAGACGTCAGACCAAAAGACCCCAAATCCTTGCCAATTGGACTACCACTTAGGAACCCTGAGCGCATATATTATAAATTCTAATTATTCATAACAAAATTATTATCAAACTCCATGATGTTTCATCCATGATTCCAATGCTGATGATTCACAAACTCACCTAGATTTCCTTCTGTACCTCACTTGAACAGCTTGATGATCTAACGGAGATAGGATTATCAGCAAAGCAGGTACTCTCTCCTTTTCTTCTCTCCTCTTTCTTCAATTGCTCATGAGAAAAAAAATGTAGTTTTACAGAGCTGTAACAGTGGTTATTTTTTGGTGTATACAGATAAAGGGATTGATAAAAAAAGAAATGGGCGCTCGATTATTCAACTAGGTGAAATGGAACTATACATAAAATTTAGTTGCCTTTCAAATTCTCTGAAACAGTGAAACAGGTGCCTGCTGTTGGTGAATGTATAATCTGGGGTGTGTATATAAAGATTCTTCTATACAGAACTCTTTTTCCTTCATCTTTTTTCCATAGCATGTACATCATCTCTCCAAATTTATATTTATAACCAAAGATTTTAATGTTAATTGATGGGAAATGTTTGATGCTGTCAAATTTGTGAAGAAAATATTGATGTCAACGGAGATTTGTAGAAAAGTAATTGACATTAAAAAATAGTTTAAATCTTATTTTCGTCTGGTAACTTTTAAATATTCCATCTTTAATTATTTTTTGTCATTGCTACTCATTTTTGTTTGGCAGAATACATTTTTGGATTTGGGACGAGTGTATTTTGCTAATTTGGTAGAATATATAAAATTTAATATTTTTATTTTAGTTAATTATTAAGTAGTAATTCTGCTTATACATATCTTTTTTATTTACTAAAAGAAAATTATATATATAGAATCCGCCGATGTAGATGTGTTAAATTTTGGAACCCATTGAAATTTTTGTTAAATTAGTCCAAATAAATGACAAGGATTTTGGTCTCTTTTTATACCTATTCCTCCAACTCTCAAACATTTTTTGTTTTATTCGTTGAATGTACACTTGTTTAGCTCGGTGATAATTGACATATACATCCAATCAATAGGTTGTGAATTCAGATCCTTTTCCCAACCTGTTATACTAAAAAAAAATAGATATTTTTATTGAATATTAATTTAAGTGATGAATATAACATGTGCCAAGATCTTTGTTAAATAATTTATTGAAAAAACACAATGGGCAATGTCAATGTGTCTTTGTACATGCATTGATTTGAGGGTTAAAAATGATAATAAAAAATCATTAAAAATGAACTGAAATATAATAAGATTTTTTTTTTCCTTTTTTTTTTTTTTACCTCTTTACTCAACCCCTCATAAGTTAGAATCACATCAAATAAACTCCAAGAAGAATCTTAAGCATATGATGGATAATACGGTGTTCTCCAATTCTCAAAACATTCAAATCAAAAGACAATATTTCACTTCTAAAAAAATCAATTACTTAGGCATTTCATTTGAGTCAAATTTCTTCCCATTTGTCCCATAATCTATTTATATATTTATAGATACTAGATTCCAAATTTCCAATTTAAAGCTATTATCTTTATTAAAATTAACTTAAAATTTGGGAGTCTACATAAACAACTCAACCAATCCACACATTACTTACCCCTCTAGAGAATAAGGATCCAAGTCCTTTACCGTTAAACTATAAAAATAATAAATTAATAAAATAATTTAAAGAAAAAAAACTCAAAAGGGTATAATACGACCATAGATTTCTTTTTGCCCGATAAATTTTACAATTATCTTAATTAAAAAAGATAATCAAGTATAATTAATAAAAATCTAAACTTTAACCTGGTGTTTGCCAGATTGGCATATTGTTCTTGTGAGAATGAAATTCCATTTTTTCTTTCCTTTTTTTAAAGTATCTGAACCCACGTTGGCAATAGATAAATTCTTAATATATGTAAACAATTAAGAAAAGCATGCTACAATATCATATCTGAACCTTACAGTTGCAGAAGAGATATATTAATACAATCCCATATCTAAACAAATAATAGACTCATATGGAGAAGTATTTGAGCTCTAAATTTGGATTTTCAAAGAACCAAAATCCTCCAAAAGTTACCAAGATTCTAAAATAGGCCGATCACAAATCAAATTACTCATTTAACTCTAATTTTGTGTGACAACAGAAAAAATTAACAAATACTTGCTCAAATTAGGAAGAGAGGAATTTTTACTTGAACGGTTGGTTGGTTATTCATCAACATGCGTTGCAGCTTTTTCTACATGTTCCATAGTAATCTGGAGAACCAATCATGAAAACAGCGTTTCGTTCGCATTCGCCAATGGCAGCCCATTGGGGGCAGCTTTTATCTTCATCATTACAGTCTCCATCAGGTTCGTCTGTGTGTTTATTCCCAGTGATTGGTCTTAAGTAGAAGAATTTTGTTGCAATCCACAATTCCCCATCGAGTATCGGAGATCGGGTATGGGAGCTACTCTTGTCTGGAGAAGCATTAAGATGCACAGAGAAAATAAGAACTGCATTGCCTTTCACTGGTCTCAGAATGTTGTTTTTCTTTCTCCGGTCTGACCAAAATCTGCTCTTTACCTGAGGCATTTAAATGGCAGTCATTAGTACGGTGTTATGGCCAGTTGGCCACGGATGTTTGAGTATTTTCTCTCACCTTTGATTCAGGAAAGCGCATCTCGCCACCGCTAGCAGAATCTGAGAGATACAGAACTACTGTGGCCATCAAAGGCTCACTGGACAACATTGCAGATCTGTTACCAAAAACGTACTTATGCTCTGCTTCTTCACCCCCATATTGCAAAATCTGCAAAGGCATGCTATAATCTGAAGACAATAGAACTGAGAAGTTTAGAAGAAGATTAAATACAAGGGGCATTATCCAGAAAATGTGGAAGGAAAAGCAGTACACAGTACTGGTGGAAAATACCTTTTGGAAGAAAAGTCCACACAGCAATTCGATTCTCGATCCTTGCAATGATATCATCCTAAGACACAAGCCCCAACAAAATAAACGAATCGTAAATCTCATAGAACCTAGAAATAGACTAACAGTAGCAGCTTCACCAACAGGAATAGTTGGTACCACAAAAAAAAGCACAATTATAAGTTCTATGATCCCAACAAATACTCCCTTAAGTCAGGCTTGTTACAAATTTTGGGAGACAATTGATGCTGACTGACAAGTCATAGTGGAGTCACCAAGAACAAAGAATTTCAGTAACAATTATGAGATCCTAGTATATATTATCTTAGGTTTTACCACCATCCCCCACACTTTTTAGTGCTTTATATCTATAAAACCAGAGAGAGAAATTTCTGACTTCACTCTTCACAAGACATTTAGAGCCCGAATTTTTTGAGATTCCCTTCAAGCGACTGCAGGTTCCCCAGAAAACTCAGCAACAAAGAATGTTTTATATGTTTGAAAATAAAAAAAAATGAGAGCAATTTGAGAGCATATCGTCTATCATCAATGCTAAAAGTGACCCATCAAGGATTTAGGGAATGAGAGATGGAATCTTTGAAAACAAAACCCCACATCAATGGTAATAGATTAAGATCAACAATAGTAGGTGTAACCAAGTCCAAATCCTAATATACACAACACAGATATTTGATACTTTGGTAGTACCACTACCACCATAAAAACTAATAACAGAATGCTTTTAAACAAACATAGTCCAATAGAAAATACATTGAACAATGAGATAAACTCAAACTGTTCATCCATGTATTAGTTGAATACTGACCAAAACCACAAGAAATAAATAAAACAACAATGTCAGAAAAAGGTCTAAACTAATGGATTGCATAATTACTAGCATGTAGAAACTAATGCGAAGCGATATAAGATTAATAGTATGCTGCTTCTGTCAATTTTAAGAAAACATGATAAGAAAATCTCGATGTGACAGATTCTGCAGCATCACTTTTTTTTTTTAAGAAACAGAGAAGTGAGAACTATATTTAAAAGGGGAGAAAAGAACAGCCTAGGGGGAACTACAAAAAAAATACCTTTCAATTGTCAATAACCATTAAAAGAATAGCATCAAAAGGTATTACAAAAGAATTTTCTATGGTTAGAACTCCACCATGAACCACTAGGTGTGGTATCAAACCAACCCATAAACTTCGAAAAGCACAGGAACGTACTGTTGTGTTTAAAATGGCTCCTGAACTCTTTAGAATTTTGGTTGGGACAGTGTTCCCAGAGTCAGTACTGTTCCCAGAAGGTTTATCTTCTGAACTTGTAGCCTACGCCCAAAAGTTATATACACGTCAGAAACAGCTGAAGCCATGTTCAAGATACTATGAAGAACATGGCAGAAACATACCAAAGAAATAAGGTGATCACACTCCTCATCTGAGAGAAATCCTTTATACAAGAAAACCCTATAGCAAAAAAAGTTAAATCAGACTTCCTATTAAATTAATCAACAAATATGTACAGTATAAAAGAACTTCAAAATGTTTTGAAGTTCATTCTGTCACAAAAAGAGGAGAAAAGAGAACTAATTCATAAGCCACAACCTAGGAGTAATTCTAAATGATTTCACAGTTTCACGTCAACAGTATCGTATGAGAGATTCTGCAAGTACCTGACCTTGGTCGCCAAGAGACTTGGACAACTCTTGATGGGTCGATTCTTCCAGAATGATTAGAGTAGCTCAAAGGTACACTTTCGATCAATTGGTCCCTTAAACCCTTGCGCCCACTAATCAAATTGCTGGCAGAAAGGAGGGAAAAAAACCACGATATCAAACTCAATCATGCATCGACAAATCATTCAACAATTTCAGTATTAGGAAGTGAAACGAAAATCAGTTTTACGAATACAATTCCAATTGCGGATCTACAGAACCCACGACTTCGAAATGAAAAAGACACAGCTGAGATGTAAAATGGCGTTCGGTTATCACCTTTGTGCAAGGCAGCTTAAGAACGAAATTGCAGTCGCTAAAAGAAGTAAGACGGGAAGACGAGAATCCATGGATGGGTGAGACGGCGACGAAGACGAAGATCCGAATTAGAGAAATGGGAAGTTGAGAAAAATGTATTAGAAATTGTCTTTGAAACATGAGTGCTGCTGTAGAAATTCATGATTTCTTCGGTAGTTCCATGAATCTGGATCCCATTTGCATTTTGCACTCTCTCGATTAGATATTCGAACTAACAAGGACTGAAATTACACCATTGAACATATTACTCTACTGTTTGTTTCTTATACTATGAGAAATACACTTGGCCAACCTAAGCAACTTATCGAGGGCGCATACCTAAACTTTAGTATATAACTAAAAAATTTAGTTCCTCTGGTTTAAAGATTGTGAGGATTTAGTATTTATTATAAAGTCTTTTGTCAATATTTAATAATATTTCTTATATATTAAGATCTATAGATTGATCAATGATCGATGTGCTCGTGATAAAAAATTATGGGGTGAGAGAAGCTCGAACTCAGGATAACTCAAATAGCTATGAGACCTACGCACTAGCCAACTGCGCCACCACCCCATGGTTGATAATGGCCACTAGAGTTTTGTATTTATCTGCCAATCAATAACAACTTTGATTTCTACCAATAATTAATATCTCAGTATTTTTTCTTTGTTATATATTGATATGTGTAGATGCGTGAATTGACCTAATAGAATGATTGAATTCACACCATTTTCAATTGAATATCTTCAACGAAATCTGCTAAACAAAAAATAATGTGTACCAACACGATACTAATCAAATATATTATATACCTAAACTAAACCAGACTTTGTGTTAAACGTGATAGAAATGAGATGTGAGAATATAATGAAAATTGTAGAAAAAGTAATAAAAAAACAATTAAAATATTTTCGCAAATACTCTCAAAACCATCCTTACATTATACAAATATTTTCTAGGACATACAATATTCTTTTACCATACTTATGGATGACAAAGAAAAATCATTCCTAACTTTCTTGATTAGACATTATATTCCATTCTTAAGATTCATGACATTCAAATAAATTTCATCCTCAATAATAATCTATGATAAATAATTTAGTGATATCCAAGAATTATAAATTTTAATAAGGTGAGATCCACCCTCTTAAAACTATCATATTATATATATGGATACATACATACTATAAGTTCAATATTACATTTATAACAAATATGTATTCTAATATGTTTGTTGGGATTGATGGAGTCAAAACGACGTCGGAACGAGCTAGGGATGAATCTGGATCAAGTCGGGATCGAAGCGGGGATGGAAAACAGGGGAAGCGGACGCTGCAAACCAAGGGGGTTGAAAGTGCAGCGCCATGGCGCTAAGGGGCAGCACCGCAGCACTGTTGTGCACGTGCGGACGATTGCCATGGCGCTGTGTCGATGCCTATATATTCGTGTTTTCGGGTTTAGAGTTTTTCTAAGCCAAAATTTGAGAAATACCCACATCTTGGAAGACTGGACGTAGATATTTTATGTGGAAGGAGAAATTATACTCGATGGTTAATTTCCAACATTATCCATGAAATTTAAAACAAAATTGAGATAATACAACCAAATTCATCAATTCATTTTAAAACAAATTTAACCATACTTTTATATGAATTAATGAGTATGCTTGATTTCTCATGATTTTTTTATATGTTTTTCATATTTCTTACCAACATTTTAATTCCAAATTTTAAAAAACTAAGTTTTGAAAACTTTTTTTTTAGTTTTCAATATTTGACTTGGATTTTAAAACTGTTTTTAAGAAGAAACACGTGTGGAAGTAGTGGTTCTAAACTTAATTTTTAAAAATAAAATAGTTATCCACGGACCTAAATAACTCATTTTTGTTTACTGCATACAGATCTTAAACAATGTTAGCAAAATATAAGAAAAAGGAAATAGAGGAAGTTAATAAATACACTTATTTTCTCAAAATGAGAACAAAACAAAACAAATGGGAAGCATTCGTCCTTAATTACCAGATAAGAATATCAAGCTATATCACACACTATTATATAGAAGTATTGACATATAATATAAATATATAGTCGACTTGTAAACAATTGTACAGAATGTGATATCCCTAAAAAAAATTAATTCAAAAAAAAAAATCTACCTCTCCATACTACCAATATCCACTTCCTGATCAGACTCCTAAAAATTTGGATGAATACTGCATATTTTCAATCATCTCTGAACAGGTGAATCCAAGAAAATCGACACCCGGGCAAGGATAATCCGACATCATACAGTAGATTCATCCGACCAAACTCAATTAAGTAATGAATGTCAACATGAATGAATCTAGTGCAATGTCAAATACTACTGTGTGATTTCTTCAATGCTGCGTGTCTCGAATCATCCTTGTCGTAGAGGCGCTCGATCAGTTCATCCCAAGTTTCTTTCTTCCTCCTCGACGAACCTGAAGACAACCTTCCACTTGAGCCTGGTGACTCTTCTTCCCCTTCATCTGTCTGGCTGAAGGTCCCGTACGGGGAAAGTACGTATGCGTGTGGCACAGCTAACGTCACAGCCCGCTGCAATGCAGCCTTGTACTCTTCACTGTGCTCCCTGGCTATAGTGTTTTGCCTCTCCATTTTTTGTTGGGGTGGCATCTCCATGACCTTATCATCCTCATGCATTAACTGAAGTTAACAGAAACGGATCGATGCCATTTTCGTTTATCAGCAATGACTTCATCGTACTCATATGCAGATAGCGACAACAACATGAATGCCTCGTATTCACATACATGCAACGAACAGGACAAAGAAACTAAAATTTGACATTTTATATTGGAAGAATGATGACATTGTTCATGTAATCATAAGATGCTGCTAAGTCCTTGTTTTGAATAGGTAATGCATCTTGCCAAGTGCTGAAAGAAACCATTGATATTTGTACTCTACATCCAAAACAAATATTATGGATCAGATAGCAGATAGTTTGTCATCAATTTTTCCGAACTGAAGGAAGAACATGATTTTAATAATTGGCTTGATGTTTCTAGAAGAATTCAGGTAAAGCCCCAATCAATGAACCTGATATAGAATTGGCTCTATATCAACGTTCAAATGTAGTCCGAGATCAGGATAAATAGAGTCCATTGAAATTTTCGAAAGAAATGTCCCGATTAGCAACACAATTTCAAATGCTTTTAGTAGTTCTCGTGTGTGTGTGTCCGTTTTCCCTGCAAGGCCCTGCCTGCCCTAAGCGGGGCGGTGATGGGAGAAGTTTTTTCTACGCCCCCCCCATATATATATTCAACATACATACATATACTTGAAAAACTTTGATTCCTCTTTATCCACCCAATATATATAGAGAGAGGAGGATTAAACACGCAGATGGGGTTTATCCTTAAAATTAAGTAATTAATTACAACTTCTTTAAAAATTTATTTAATTGAGAAATAATTTTAAACAATTAAAAAAATTAACAGAGAAAAATTTCCCACAAAATTTCGTGAAAAATTTCACGAGAATAGGGAATCAAATGGGGAGCGGGGATGGGGACAGACCCCCCGTGAACACCCCTAAGAAACTGATCCACCAATGGCAACTCCAAATTTACGGGCAATTATAGAGAGGAAAAAATGCACCAAAATGATAAATGTAAGGTGAAGAAATGCAAAAGAATGCTTGTGTTCCAAAATTTCACTAAAATTCAAACAGTCAGCATAAAAGGCCAGGTAGAATGAAACTTACTTCCAGGGCCATTTTGGCTTCTTTCTCTATCCAAATGATTGCATGGTCAGAAGTTGCATTACAAGAAAGAACAATATGTTCGAACCGCCCATCCACCGGAACAGCCGTCTTCACAACTGGCGGAAGCCTTCCGCACCTTTGAACAAGAACAGGTTAATCCATTCAATTGTTAGAGAAGGGCACGTTCCAACGGTCTAGAAAGCCAGAACATTTCAATAACTGATAAGATTGAGAGATATTTCCCACAAAACAAGTACAAGAAAGCCATAAATTCATGAATTCTCTCAACTTTTAAAACCGATGCTCGATAATTCACCACATTTAACTCACTTAATATGGAAAATGCAGGTCTTTTACCTGCAGGGCTTTCGCTCGATGATGTGATAAAGTCGTCCCGGTGCATAAAGTCTCCTCGGATCTTTAATCATCTTCTCCTCTGATACACATGTATCCCGTAGGCACCTCATGCATAGAAGGCATGGCAAACTACAAGGAAATAAAAACCAGTTTAATATTCATGGTTTGGAAAGAAGAATTTCATATGATTATTGAGAAACTTAAATTAACACTAAATAAATCCAAGCTACCATTTCATTCTTTTCTAACAGACGCAAATTTTCTATTATTACTTTTATGCAAGAATAGAGCTCTAGTTTCCATATTTGCAGCAATATCTACTTTGCAAATGGTGTCAGGACTAAGCAACAGAAACGGAAAACAAACAACGTAAAAAGATTCAACACCATAAAGTAATTTGTCCTGAACCATACCAGAAAAGTGATTTAAAAATGTCTTCCAAGGGTGTGGCTGTCCTGGGTAAAAAGTCATCCTGGTTCAGTATAATAATCACCGTTACATTTTGAAGTGCAAATATAAATTCTCCTAGCACACTTTAAACAATCAAGGCTGTGTTCAAATACAACAAAAAAAGAAAGTTCTTTTTCTTTTACTGAGTACATAAAATAAATTAATCATGAATAACATTGCTAAAAAAAACTTTAGGATCACTAGAATGTTGGTGTAAAGATTGAGGAATTGTTATATAAGATATGCAAAAACAAATCCTAGGGAGTTATCAAGGCCTCAGAAGGCATAGATCCACATTATTTCAATAACTTTCACAATGGTTACTGATTAGTTTATGAAAAAACCATGGAAAAAATAAACAATTTACCTGAAGAACAACAGAGTTGATCACATCTGCATATCTAACAGCCAAATTTAGGGACATGCACCTGGCAGGAGCAATCGCATAGCACCTTATCCTCTTCCGATCAATATTTTCCAATTTATCGCGATTCTGAACTACTACCAGAGTTAACATGGCTGCTACTCCAGAGCCAAGGGAATGCCCTGCAAACGTCAATGTATAATCCGGATATTTGCTCACCAAATCCTTTAAAATTTCGTTCTCAGTGTCCAAAACCCACCCAGCTGCCTTCAGAAGCCCATTGTGAACATATCCACCATCAAATTTCTTCTTCCCCAGCTTGTTGTCCAATAAAACTGCATAATCACTCTCCTTTGCCATATTAAGTCCCCTGATGGCAAGAACAATGTCCCCATGATTGTGATCAAGGTATAAAATATACGGAGGCGCACGTCCTCGAGTATCCTTATATGATTTTTTAATGAGCAACCAATCTGGATTGATTCCATAACCACCAGCCGGTTCCCAAAGGGGTTGTTGAATATCATCTTCATACACAGCTAGGATATATCGACAAATTCGGGGAATAGGCCCGAACTCATCAGCGGTGGCAAAGCCCCAAGTTTCACTGTCATGAACGGCTGAGTGAAAACAGCGTTTACAGGCCCAACGAGCACATCCCAGACAGCATACACACTCAAGAATAGGAATGCCACATATGATAGACATTGATGCCTACGGTCTAAGCTCAAAGGAACAGTAAATCATACAGATTTTCCTAGTAAACATAAGAGTTATGAAAAGACATTATCAGAAAATAATCAATTTGATGATCCGAAACTACGAGTTCTATTGATGCAAGACTTGGATTTGATAATATGCAGTAGATGATGATACAGGGAAGGATCAGAAGAATGACAAAAGATTTTGACGATTCATTTTTACTTTAGATAATTTCACTTAAGAATGATGGATGAACTAGAAAGCATACTTCACAAGAGAACAAATCTCAATAATGATGAAAACTCTTAAACATCTCTCCAAAGGATCAAATAATAAGAGGAAAACACAACAACTTGAATGGGGGAATTAATTCAACGATCAAGACCATCAAAAATTTGAAGCTTAATAGCCAAGGCAAATCTCATCAACCTCCCAGTTACTTCCAACTACTGAAGACCATGGAAGATCTGGGTTTCAAATTTCTACCTTCAAGAGCAGAGAACAGAAGCAAGGGAAGTGAAAATAATATGCACACACAAATTCTCACTTCCGGTCAGAACTTGAGAATCAGAATTATACAAGAATATTCCTAAACTGATAACAGGGTTTTAGTGATTGAAAAGGAGCTTTCAATCGCTGGATTTCTAAATATTAATTAATTGAAACGGAGAAACTGAGTCAATGCCTCAGAACTCAGCTGTAAGCTCGATCGAGAGCAATTCGGAGAAACCCAAAACCGAAATGCATATAAATCTAAAGATAGAAAATAATGGACTGTACCTGGAAGTCAACGCCTGCATTTGGGTTTACGAACTTGGAAGATTGTGTGTGTTTTTTAGGGCAAAATTGGATCTGGAGAAGAACATGATGTGGATTATTGGGATAGAGAGAATTTTCCCAAAAAAAAATTTCAATAATTGGTTACTTGAATGTGACCTTCAAGAGTGAATTTTCCCGAGAAAATTTTTCAATAATTGGTTACTGGATATGTGAATGTGAACTTCAAGAGTGAATTTTCCCATTCTGACATTTCCGCGTGACCGATCCTCAGACCACAACTTGTCTAAATCGTTTATGACCGTTAATCCTTTTTATGTTCCCTTCCATCCCAACTTTGCTTCTTCTTTTTTTCTCCCCTTAGAAGGTTCAAATCTCATTTTAATATGATTTTTTTATTTTTCTCTATTAATTCTTTAAAAGTTATATTTTAGTCTTTAAATTCTTTTAAAAATTGGTTTTAAATACTATTTCCATGATGATATTTTTTACTCTAATTCATCTTATTCTCTATTTTTGTTTATTTTAGTGCATGCACCTTCAAAAGATTTGTTTTAGTCCTTATACTTTTTTGTTGCTTTGTTTTTGTTTAACCCAAAATACTAATAAAGATAATTGTCCTTTTTTAGAGTCTCCTCTTAAGTAGTCAAATATTCGTCCACTATTAGACAACAACGAGAGTTTGCTCTTATCCAAAGCTCTAAGTACACTCGGATAGAGCACAATCATGAATCACGCATAACTACATCTTTTAAGATTCATCATTTCTTTGTTTGGCACCCGAGGATTTCACCAACACATCTAAGTTTAATCCATGGTTCTGATACCATTTGTTAAGCACAATGGTACCCAAAGTACCCATGAGTGTCCAAAGATATTATTTCAGTCTATAAAGGTAAGAATGTGGTTTGTACTGTGCTCAAATTGATTTAACATATGGTTTGATTACTTTTCACTAAAATAATGGACACGTTAACCTATGGATCCAAATCCGAACTATAAGGGTAAGAATTATATCTCATATAACAAGAAAATTTTTAGTCAAAACTATGAGACCAACAATCATGGTTCATACACCTTACATATAACTATCCTAAATGTTGATAATACAATCGCTCGTCCTATAATTATTAAACACGAATCTTCTTACTACTGATCAAGGTGTTTCTTTTAGTACAATAAGTGAGACGGAAGATTCGAACTCATAATCTTTTGATCAGAAACATATGTCAATTTCTATTGAGTTAAGATGAGCAATATGTCTTGACCAAGCTAAGCTTACGTTAGCAATTGTGATTTTGTCAGTGAATTGCATTTAGCCAAAATTTAGATAATGAAAAGTATACTAAAAGACATAAAATAAATATATATTTATAAAAATATCATTACTTTTTGTTTTTTTAACGTCACATTTATGTTGGTCTCACTTGTATAAATTNAAATTGATTTAACATATGGTTTGATTACTTTTCACTAAAATAATGGACACGTTAACCTATGGATCCAAATCCGAACTATAAGGGTAAGAATTATATCTCATATAACAAGAAAATTTTTAGTCGAAACTATGAGACTAACAATCATGGTTCATACACCTTACATATAACTATCCTAAATGTTGATAATACAATCGCTCGTCCTATAATTATTAAACACGACTCTTCTTACTATTGATCAAGGTGTTTCTTTTAGTACAATAAGTGAGGCGGAGGATTCGAATTCATGATCTTTTGATCATAAACATATGTCAATTTCTATAGAGTTAAGATGAGCAATATGTCTTGACCAAGCTAAGCTTATATTAGCAATTGTGATTTAAAAGTATACTAAAAGACATAAAATAAATATATATTTATAAAAATATCATTACTTTTTGTTTTTTTAACGTCACATTTATGTTGGTCTCACTTGTATAAATTAGGGTTTTGTAAAATTTTAAACCTGATACTCTATATATAAAAAAATAATAAATCCATGTTTTTTTGTGTGCTATTTTTATACTGTCGGTCACACCGGTTTCTGTGACATTTCAACATGATTCACGTGAATTCCTTTTATTTATTATTATTTTTTTCATACATTTTCCCTCCCCACCTTAGCCATTTGTTCTTATCCCATTTTTCAATCTCTCTTTCTTTTCTTCCTCCCATTCTCTTCTATCTTCTATTTTCCATTTCTCATTTTCGTTTTCCCTCTCCACGTTTATTCTCTTTCTTCCTTTTTTTCTCATTTTTCCCTCTTCAAATCTCTACGTTTCGGATGTAGCAACACTCGTTTTCCTTTTCAAGGTTAGTATCTATTGAAAACCGATCAAATCGATCGATCGAACAATCAATCAAACGGTCGATTTGTACAAAGACGTAAAAATATTTTCGACCAATTGAAACTGACAAGATCGATTAGTATTGAAACTGGACAAAAATCGATCCCGACCGACCAATGCTCACCCCTAACTGGAATTGTCCCGACCTTATCTCATTCCTTCCACTCCACGCGCAACCTCCAGCGCGTATCTGAATCTCAACTAGAAACCATTAAGTTTTTATATATTGGGGAAATTTCCCATTTTTTACTTCAAAATTTTCAGTTTCATTTTATTGCATTGGGAAAAGTTTACGCAAAGAATGATTAAAAGTTTTCATTGTCCACTTTCTATTCTCGAAGTCCCTGATAAATTTTGACCAATCACAATTTAAAAATAAAATTATATGTCATTAAATTTAAGACCAATTAAATTTTGACAAGTAACTTTAAATTAATTAAAAAAGACAACGAAATCCAAGCTCATATGAGGTCCATGAAAAACTATAAATATATGGGTCATTCTCCTTGGCAGGATCAATATCCTCCATGGAATCATAATCCTCTCTATCCACGCATAGGATCAAAATCTTTCAACTCTCTGAAGATCAAAATTATCGTCAAGCCAACAAGTTAGAGACCAATTAAGATCAACAAGCCATAGGTGATCAAGATCAACATCAAGCCAAATGAGGTCGATTAAGATCCTTCGCAAGCTAAAGGCCGATCAAGATTAAGAAGTTCAGAAAGCCGATCAACATTAACATCAAGCTAAGAAGTCAATCAAGGTCAACAAACTAAGGCATCCATTCAAGAATTCAATAGAAATACTAAGAAGATAAATATTAGAGATTATATAAATTCAAATATCAATATAAAATATATTTATTCGACAAATTATAATTTATTTAGAAATATCGTGTGAATAATGTCTAATAACTCTCTAGATTTTTTATATTATGTCTGATAGATGATTGATATATTTTAAATTTTAGTACTTGACACAAAATGTACTTATTAGACACGACTATTAAAGTTTATAGATCAAATTTGCAATTTAACTTTTTCTTAGTTCAACAAATGTAGAGATAGGCCACGAATGAAACAATTGACATTTGATAGGATCATAAATGTCTTATCTTTCTCAATTGACAATAAAAAAAAACAACATACTTTCTATCCAATAAGATTTTTTATTAAAAAAATATAGATTTAAATACTATTTTGGTTGTTTTACTATGTTTTCATTTTGTCCTTTCAAAGCTTTTTGTCTCTATAATTTTAACTTTTGTTTATTTTAATTCATATATTTGTAAAAAGTCCATTTTGATTCTTATACTAAAAAAAAGTGACCACTCCTAATCTTTATTTTGCAAAATTATATATTGGAAACATTTTAATACAATTTATGGCTATATTTGAAATGCCATACTAAAACTAATAAAAATTGAAAATACATAGAACGAAATGTTTTTTTTTTAAGTATAAGAACGAGTATTTAAACAAAAAAATAAATATTGCATTTTTAAAATTAGAAAATTGTTTACAAACATAACATACTCTTGAGTCTTAGATTCAGAGAACGGTGCGCGTGGGGTGGAGTACACTACATTCTACAGGCGTCGCGAAATCCTTGTCAATGGTGATGAGCGGAAATCAGCTTCATGCACACACGCACTCTAACAAATAACCACCTCCTCCTTCTCCCTCGTTTTCCAATTCGCTTCCTCTTCGCCGGAATCTTTCAGTGGAGTTCTCAGAGATCAGATTCCATTCTTCATCCATTGCAGCAGCAGCAACTGAATCTCAATAGGTATGAAACGCCGAGCGAGTTTCGGAAACGATCTCAATTTCGAGGCAACGGCGCTGCGATTAGGATTGCCGCGGAGAGAACAACAACGGCAACAACAACAATCGGAGAAACAGAGTAAGAGGCCAGCCTCGCCGCCTGCGGCTGACGAATCCAGATCCGGAAGCGACTCCACTCTCTCCGATGCTGGAGCGAGCTACGGAGTCATCCACCAGCAAAGTAAGTCGATCAAATCGATTCGATGAACGATTAATTCAATGAATTAAGTTAAAGCCTCTCAATCTACGGATAGGACGAATGTGGCTCTGTTTTAGGAAATTAGGGTTTGAGCTGAAAATTGTGGCGAAAAAATTGCAGGGCGCAAGTGGTAGGGTGACCACCAGTGAGATCTTACAGGAAAAATGCGATAATTGAAGCAGGGAAGAAGAAGGAGATGAATAAGGAATCAGGGAGTGGAATTTATGTGAAAGTGAGCATGGATGGAGCTCCATACCTGAGGAAGATTGATCTCAAAGCTTTACCACAGCTATCAACAGCTTTTGGATACCTTGGAAAACATGTTCAACTTCAAACATGGTAAGTTTCTATTATCAATTGCAATCTTTATATTATAATGTTGACCAAGATGTGATAATTTATGTTAAAATAGGATCAGAGGATGATTACAATTAATTCAAACATTATTTAAAATTATTTTAGTTTCTCTGTTACTAAATTGTAACATATTAATCTGATGGTATTTTGTAGGGAGATCTTCAGAGAGAGAAGGATACAGTGGGTGTGATTGTGTTCTAACTTATGAAGATAAAGATGGTGATTGGATGCTGGTCGGAGATGTTTCATGGGAGCGAGTCTCTCCACATCTCATCATTTTTTCTCTATTTTTTTTTTCAAGAACTCAAAAGTCTAAGCAAATGATGAATCACGGCAAATTTAATCATTTATTAACGGTTTAATCTTTTTTTTTCCCTCTCTTTTTCTGTGGATACAGTATGTTTATCTCTTGTTCCAAGAGGCTGAAAGGAGCAGATGCCAGAGGATTAAGTTGTTTATAGAAAAATAATAATAGTAATTAAAAAGGAGGTTTTTGTCTCAAATTCAATCTTATCATTCTCAATTATCTACAGATGTTGTGTTTTTGTATGATTCTTTGTAAAGCTACTCAGCAAAAGAAAATAAAAAAAGAAAAAAGAAGAAGCTACTTGAGATCTAATTGTAGTATTGTACAAATGATGGGATACTCCAATTTGTATTTTAAAAAAATGGAATTAATCTCTCTTTACATGAAGTGACGTTGGAATGAGTAATTTTGAAAAAATATATCTTTAGTTCATTTTTCAAAGTCACTTAAATTATTATTATTATTTTTTTGAAACAGCAAAGTCACTTTAAAATATTTTAAACTTTTTTAAAATAAAATTTTTAATTTATCAAACATAATGAATAGAAGTGATTTTGGCAATAACAACTCCCAGACACATCTTAGTTTCATCATCTAATTCAAACAATTGTTATCTAATTCTAAAACAGTTGTTTTATTGTTAAATAATAATAATAATAAATAAATAAATTGTAATGAAAATATCTACAATTTTTTAATCATAATTGTTGATAGTTAAATAATTGTTTAAATTAATAATTTATAGTTTAATGTCCTTTTAAGAAGTTGGCATTTATTAAATCAAGTTTGAAACCAAATATTAAAAATTCAAAATTACTTTTAATCATATGAAAATCACTTCAAAACAAAAACAAAATAAATTGTATTTTTAAATCATTTTTTCAAAATCAATTGGAAATAAATCTCATTTTCTAAAATCACTCATTATAGTATCATTCTCAAACACACCCTAAAAAAAATTAAAAATTACTTTTTGGTAACTATACTTTAGTTTGAACTTTGAAGTAACATTAATGTGCATCTCTTTGCCAAAAAAAAGACCCATCACGGAGAGGATTTTCGTTCTTCCAAGGTATAACAAGATTCGTCGTTAACAAAATAAGCCCAAGTTAGAAGCAGCATTGAGAATCAGTAATCGAGCACACGCTTCTGTACATAACTGATAAAAACCAGTAGAAAGAATGCATTCGTGTTTCTTTCCCCTATTTCTTCCTGACAGGCAAAAGTAAATAAAATTTCCAAGTGTAATTTTCTATGTCATTCATTCCCTTGCATAAATGTCACATATGAAGTCAAGAGGGAATACCTGGGGTACCATTTTTGATCCGTCTGAACTTTATTTATAGGTCACCCTGAATATCAAACTCTGTTCCATTCATAAATACAAGTTCAAGCAATGCGTCGCACCAAAATGCCGATGAGATTGTTATCCTTGTTCTTGTTTCATTTGGCTTTGGTGATTTGAGAAAAAAATTCTTTTGCATTGTGAGCCACTTCTGCTTCCAGTACTGCTTCTAACATTATGTCAGATCCTTTTAACTCATCTGGGAAAAACATTGAAAGTACTGGTAAATATCTTCAATAGACAGAATACATCTCTATTTGCAAAGTCTTCAAAACAAAAGTTTCCCCATGACTAACGGACATCAATTCTGTTTAGTATAATATTAATAATTGAATGAAAATGAGAGCAAATCTCCAAAATAGTTGCAACTGCAGTTATCAGGTAGGTGCCCCACCCTTCTATATAGCTCATCTAATATCACATCAATTGATGTTACTTCCAAGTACACTAAACTCTCAAGTCAGGATTTTAACACCAGAAATGAATATATTTGTAAAATAAGGTAATTATTATACTATCTTTTATTGTAATTAGATAACTTACCCGGGCGTTTAGGTAACAGCCCACTATTTTCCGCGGATATGGGTAAAACTGTAGGAAGTCCTAACTCATCATAAAGCTTATCTCCGTCTGTAGCAATTGGAAATGAGCCAGTGGAACCATTCTTTATGGTTGGTGATTCAGCCAATCTGGCGAATGTAGTTGCTCGGCTGTGCTCATTTGATATTTGTGAAGGTGCTACCTGAAGAAATGTGCAGACCCATTGAAGTAGCTTAAATTTACAGTGGCAAAAGAGATCCATCATGATATTCAGAAATTAATAAGAACCTTCAGACTGCTAGCTGCTGGTGTGATCTCCACAGTATGTTTTTCTTTTGCTAAATCACCTGCATTCCAAACACAAGAAAAAAACATTATAATAATTAGAAACCCTTGCGAAAATTTAACTGTAATGATACATTATCACGTACTAGTTACGCCACTATCAGCTGTTCTGAGCTCGGGATCATCCACAAGCCTCCGAGTCAATGGCCCAGGATTCAGAATCGATATGCTTCGGATTTCATGACGAATAGCATCAAGCTGAGCCATAGTGTCTTGCAATTCCTTGTGAACCTGCAAACAGGGAATCATGTTAAAGGGCGTTCATCTCTTTAATGATTGTCCAATTACGATTGCATATGGTTCCAGATACAATGCTACTTTTTACGATTGTTTCCAGATACAATGCTACTTTTTTATTTTCATATGGGAATCATGATAACTTTTTCCTTGAAAATATATTAACTACAAATTGGCGAGTAAGACTACTACCTACGCATAGGAGAAGTCAAAAGAAACACTGCTGAAGCCTTCATAAACATCACCAAATAATTTACTAATAGTTGGTTAAACTAAATAAGAGCACACCTGGCGAGCTTGAGTTTGTTGCATGACAGAGTCAAACTGACCTCGAGCTAACTGAACATATCCAATTGCTCTTCCAGCCATCCTCCCTGCCATTCTTGCTATCACTGGGAGATCCTTTGGCCCTTTTCATAAGAATCTGGGAGTCATAACTCTATTCACGGATTAAATCTCTTAGATCACTTAACAAATGAGAAAAGGTGGTGCAGTAATTACCAATGAAGGCAGCAGTAGCTCCAAGAAGGAGGAAGAGTTCTCCATATGAAATGCCCAGCATCTAAGTTTCGTAGCGCCTCTTTCTGGAACTCAGAAGTGCACTCAAGCATGGCCCGGAGATCGAGAATGATTTCAGATGCAATGACTTTGACGCAATTCAGTCCTAAGATGTTTTGGGCGTTTACCTCCAATTAAGGACCTACTGAACGAAATAGTAAGTACCCACTCAGAAATAAATGTTTTCAATTTTTCACAATTGATACACATAATTTTATCCATCTATCCTTTTCTTTCCTACGATATATAAAGCATTTCACTCAAGAGAAACTTATACAAGAACTGAAGACATCCTCACAACACAAAGTTCAAGAGAGATTACCAAAACATCTAGCATATTTTTTTTTTTTAAAGGAAGTAAAGAAAAAAACGATTGTAGTATTCTCCTTTGAATCAATTTTCTTTGCTTTGTTCAATTTCTGCTGCTATGCTGATTTTAATGCTAAACCTTTTTTTTAAGTAGTGCATATGCATTTTCAAGATGAAGACATAAAAGAAGAAATATTGATAGTCAATTAAAACATAAAAAGATAAGTCCCGTTTGATAATAACTAATAAAATGGCTATTTGAACTAATTAATTAGAGAACAATGTGATAATAAGACTAGCACCATACCCAGCAAAAACTGTGCACAGATAAAGAAACAAAAGGAGAAATAAAAAAGGAAGAACAAGAACTACAAGCCACAAACTGAACCGAAAGTTGCGAATCATCACCCAAATTCAACACGGAAACATTTTTAACAGAATACGATAAGCACCATTTACAAGTTCAACTGGAAATCAAAATCAAGAACAGAGCACATTCAGACTGACAATGAAGGGAAATGTCGTTTTTTCGAGAACCCATTATCATCAAGGTCACAAATTTGACAAATTTCAAATCTAGAGTTCATTTTAGTTGCAGACCATCACAAAGTTTGTCATATACATAAGCATTAAACCTCAAAATTAATAAGTTCAAAACCAAAGATCTAAATAGAGATTGAGAGAGTACCTGATAAGAAAGAGTGAATTGAGCTCCGTGCGTCCACGGAGGGCGAGAGAAAATGGGGGCGAAAGAGAGAAGCGGCGTTGAGCGCGGTGGAGGACTACGAACCGCGCGATTGAACAGGGCTCCGTTGAGCAGCCGACGGAGGGATTTGGAACCTATGGGCTTCCTAGCTCCAACCATTACATTTTTTTCGTACTTCTTAATAGATATTTACTTTGGATACTACTCTTTTGGTTATTTTCATATTTTCATATTTTGTCCATTTTAGTGATGTATTTTGTAAAATGATTTATGATTTATTTTGATCATTATGGTTAATCTACCGTTAATTTATGGTGTGACATTAACTCCGAATTAGGTGGTAAATTTATATGGTTTCAGACATAATAATAGGCTASGAGAAAGAGATTTATGGTGTTGTAGGTCGTTCTCATTCTACAATGACTATCCCCTTTTTTCTTCGTGGAACGAAATCGCAAATAAATTGAAATAACTTAGAAAAATAGTGGCATTTATTCGTTGGGAAGTTTCAATTCTCTAGTTTGATTCAAAGTATTTCTTTAGGTCTGGACTATGTTTAGGTCATTTCATCCAATCTAATTTAAGTAGGTGTGATATTGAGCGATTTTAGACTCAACCCCGAAATCCGAGCTTGAGTGACTTTAGACCCCGACCAACCCTTCAGGTTGATTCATACTCATTCAAATTTGGTCAAGTCTGTTATCAATCAACAACAATAGTTTTATAGTAATTTTATTTTTTTTAGCCAAGAGTAATTTGTGCTTTAGGCCAAATTGTAATCCGATAAATTTATAAATTTTGTATGACACAATTCAACCCATTAAATCTAATCTAGAGGTCGTGTGACATTATTTGTGATTTCTCACTTTTTGTTATTAATTTTAATATAGGGACACATTTAAATTTGTAATTGACCCTAGATTTAATAATATATAATTTGATCATCGGTTTAAAATAATGACGCGAGGTATAATTGGCCTAAAATGGATGATTTTACACACATCCCAACAAAATAATTAAACCTTGATAAATAATATTCAAATTTATCATTTATGAATTTTCAAATATGATGTTGCGATGAATATTAGAGTGCCTTTCGGATAATCTTGAAAATAGTACTTTTAAATAAAATTATTTTGTATATAAGTACTTTGAAGAGGAGTTGAAATGGACTTAGTTGTATCTCGAAGAAACAACCTAGTGACGGAACTATTTTTTAAGTAATATATATTTTTAATAATTTTCAAACTAATATTATTTTAAAAATAAATTTAAATATTACCATTATTAAAAAAAAAAGATATTTGAGTTCTTAGACTATATAACAAACTTTAGTTAAGTTTTTAAAAGTCAATATGAACGTAATGCAATGATAATTGACATCTAGTATTTTATTTGAGGTTGGATGTTTAAACTCTTATACTCTTAATTTACTGTATTGAAAAAAAAAACTTTAATTTGTAAATTATACCACATTAGTTTAATAATATAATTTCAATTTTTGAGCCACATAAGAACGACTGTGGTTCTATTTAGATTATCTTTTTAGATTTTGCATCTATGGTATCTCCGATAAATTACTTGATATATTCTTTATCTTTGATTATTCCTACTCGTACTTGAGAATTATTACAAAACATCATTTTTAAAATGACAGTAAGTTATTGGTGAAAGTAAATCTAACCAGCTAAAATCACGCGTAAACAT